ATAAGAGACAGCAACATCGGTAACGGCAGCCCCCGCCCCGTCCTCCAGCCCGGGCACCCCCATAGCCGCTCCCCGAACCCCTCCTTCTCGGGGGGCCCCCGCGGGCACCCCCTATCCCCGGGACACACACACACGCACACCCCGCGTCCCGCAGGACCGTCTCCCCCAGGGCAAACCGGGGTCTCCAAACCAGCCCCCTCCAGCCCCTTTGGGAACATGGGTTCCCTCGCCCCCAACCTGCCACCCGCAGGCAGGGCTGGACACCCTCAGAGCAGCGTGCCCCGCGGATTGGCACCCCTGGGCAGGCAGGTTTGTGGGCCCCCTGCCTGGGACGGTCACCCCAAAGCTGCGTCCCTGTGGTGGATGCTTTCTGGTACCCCCTTGGGCAGGCTCCTGGGTACCCCACCCCTTCCCCGGGCTGGGGTCCCGCAGGTCACCCCTGGGGTGGGCAGGAGCAGGTGGGAGTTGGGTGTCACCCTTTGGGTAGGCAGAGCAGATTCCCCTGGGCAGGGCACCCCTGAGTCCTCCTTCAGGCCGGGCTGCCCGAGCGGCCCCAACCAGAGCGGGCAGCGGTGGGGTGGTGTCTGCCTGCCAGCTGCCTGGCTCTGGCAGGAGCCCCTGCGCTGCCTGCATGGCTGGGAACGGGCTTGGGAAGGGAGCAGGTCTCTGCATCAGAGGGAGCTGCTAGAAGCCCCCAGGTTCTCCCACTGATTATTTTTTGGGGTTTTTTTTTGTCTGTTTGAAACGCTTTTTAATGCTGTAACATACCTGGGCACCCAGACAGAGCTCAGGTTCCCACTGTGCTAGGTTGGTCACGGGAACAGATTGATGGATGTCTAAAAGAGAGTGGTACTACCTCCAATTTACCCACCGGGACCTACTTATCCACGCCCCAGAGATTGTCCCTCTGAGCAGAAGCACCTGGCCCCACCGTTGCTTTAGCAGAGCCTGGCGGGGCCTGTCCTCAGAAGCCCAGAAGGGTGACATGGCTGTTTTTCCCTTGCTGCTTCCCTCTGAAGTCTGGTTTTCCAGCTCTCTGAACATCACACTTTGTAGAACACACAAGCTGCCTACTACAACTTTTGTGGTCTTCTGGGCAGTAGTGGAGAGCGGTAGAGTGCAATGACCGTGTGCTTGCTGGTTACCAATACCTGTCACTGTGTCTCACCACAGTGACGCTGTACGGTGTGTTCACCAACCACTACTCTGCAAATGGCCCATCTCGCTGTCTGCTGCTGGAGCTGCTGGACATCAGCGTGTCCGAGCTGCTGCTCCACTCTAGCAACCAGGGCTGCTCCATGTGGATGATCCAGCACTGCGCCCGAGACGTTCTCGAAGCCCTGGCTTTCCTGCACCACAAAGGCTACGTGCACGCAGACCTCAAGCCACGCAACATCCTGTGGAGCGCAGAGGAGGAGTGCTTTAAGCTCATTGACTTTGGACTTAGCTTCAAAGAGGGGAATCAGGTTTGGAACATGCTGCTCTTGAAGCAGTTGGCTCTGTGTTGACTTGTGTGGGTCTGTGATGCTTTCAGCTCACGAGTGTAGGAGTCGGTGGGACCTGATCAGAGTAGTAGCTGAGCTGGTGCTGAAGGGTTTCCTGGAAAATGCTAAAATGTTGACTTGCCCCAGAAGCAAAAGCTCGTGTTCCCATTCTCCTTCACATCTCTGGTTTCTGTTGATGTCTTAGCTTTTATGCTACGCATGACCACAAATTCCAAAGTTAATGATGCACTGAAAAAATGTAGTGTCTCAGCTTTCTGGGAAGTTTGCTAGTTTTTATGTGGTCAGACAAGTGGGAGCACCCAGGTCTGTAGAATTTCCTTTTATCATCCCTTATCATAAATGATAGTAATCCAGGCTTCACCATCAGCTTCCCCATTATCTCTGGCAGTGTCCTTGTGCTTGTCTTTACTTTCATCTTATCTTCAGCAGCTTCCCTTTTTCAGGAAGCCTGGATGTTTCTTTCCCATGTCATTGTGTTGACAAAAGCCCACACTCTGGTTGTGGGTAGGCAGTGTCCGTTCTTTACTGACATGGACAGATCTCTGCCTGTTCTACCCTGCTTTTCCCATTTGGGCTTTCATTCCCTCTTCATGCTATCACTTTTTTGGTTTGGTGATACTGGATTTTGTAAGTTTGTCTTTTTAATTTTCTCCCATGGCCTCTGATGAAAGCAGAGCACCTCAGGAGGTTCTGCTCTTGGCTTGACAGAGCTTCCTTTCACCCCTCCCTCTCAATAATGGCCTGTGAGGAGTATCAGTGAAGCTTTTTCATCAGGTAGCCTCTTAGCAAATTTGCCTTTAATCAGTGGGCAGTGAGTCTAGTAAATGAGCTATGATTTTTCTGTGCACACATTATCCTGGCTTGTCACTACTCCCTGCCCTTAGAGGTTTTAAATTCATATACTTTTTTACTGGTTTACCTAGTATTGATAGTACAGCCCACTGATCTGTGAATATCAGGATTGTGTGGGTGACCTGTCTCTGAATTCTTTGGTACAGAAGCTGTTTTTTAACGTTTGTACTTCTTAACTCCTTCACGTTTTCTCCAGTTTGCCCACGTTTTTGGCTGAATGCTGGTTTGTGCTTGTAATCTGTTGCTGTCTATCAGCAAAAAACATTCTCCTGGTGTCCTGTGTGTAATGCAGATATCTTTTTTTAATTCAGGTCTGTGTTTTGCTGCTTGCTCTTTGAGTTGCATCATAATAGTTGATTGGGTGTTTTATCTGCTTCTATGGTTCCTTCCAGTCAGTTTTCTTTGGGCTGAGTTTCCTTTGCTCGTTCTCAGAAATATGCTGCCTATATGGGTGAACCTTCCAACCCTGCTTTGAATATGCATAGGGTATCAGCTTGCCTTGCCGTGGGCAGCAGCATACATGCACAATTTCCTTATCTGAGTCAAGACTATATACTTTTATTTGTGACAGCTTTGCTGAGCTTATCCTTGCATAACTTTTCCTGCCATTATTGTTTAACAGAGAATGGCTGCCCATCAAGCAAGGTCTCAGCCATTTAAATCTCTCAGAATGCTTTAGATGGTAGGAGTGAAATTCCATCTCGCAATTTTTGCTGGTGACATTGACCATAGTGTTTTCTCCGTCTCTAGATATTGTTTGGTGGGGCTGCTAACTTACTGCTTTTGCCATGCTAGAGGTTCTGCTCTTTGCTGATAGGAGGAGGGACGGTGATGAGCAATTTGTGTATCAACTTTTTTAAATTCATAAGCCACTTTTGAGCTCTGTCGCCTCAAAATGATTGAAGACCAAGTTTACAGAAAACAGAGGACCAGATAATTTTAGTTTAAATCTATTCCCCTTGTAAGAATTCCCAGTCCTGCCCCTTATCCAGGAAGTAGACTTGCATATTCTTCTGTCATTCCTTCAGTCTCATCGTGTGTCTAAAACAAGCCCTCCAGTATTAAAAAGACACAGCATGAAGTTTGCCTTTGGACACTTAAACAATGCTTGGCTAGACAAAGCCACAGCTGACCAATCGGGTATTGTCTGGGAGCCGAAGGCTGGACTGGAGACCTTCAGAACAGCCCCTCCAGCCAGCGCTTGTGTGAATCTATAAGAATTTCATGTTTTCTTTTAAGCAGGCAGCGTGTGGGCATTTTATTTTGCTCTGCCAGCCACGGCAGCTGGGCAGGTATTGATTGCTGCAGCACTTCCTGCTGCGACAGGGAGAAGGAAGAGATGTGTGGGAAGTGCCTTTGGTAATTTCCTTGTCTGAGCATTAGGCACCTGCTTCGTTCTTTTAATGTTTTGTTCCGGAGAACATCAGTACATGAATAATGGCAGCTGTTACTGATCCTCACTGTTCAGTGAGGCTGTTTGTGCTCTCATGCAGCTGATGCGGGAGTATATTGTGGGTGTTTGACCCTTATCCTGAAACTTCCAGTGTCTTCTGTGCTTTTGACAGGTTAATGGGCCAGTCCGCAGTGGCATCCAGCATCTTCCTCCCAGCAGAGCTGTCTTTCAGAGAGTTCAGATGTTGGTGTGATGCTTTCTGTTTTGCTTGGGAGGTGTTTTCTCTTTCAGACAGTCTTATTTTTTCCCTCATTGACAGAGCAGTATAGCAAGTTGAACTGCCTGCCTAACATGACTGGCTGTACAATGCTTTCTGTCATTTTAGTGATAGTTATTTTGGTGACCCATTTGGAAGAACGTCTGTGAACTGATTTAAGGATAGAGTGGAGAACCTGAATCTGGAAAATTAACTTTTTCTGTGTGTTTGATCTTCCATAGGATGTGAAATATATTCAAACAGACGGGTATCGTGCTCCAGAGGCAGAACTGCAGAACTGCCTGGCACAGGCAGGGCTCCAGAGTGAGACAGAGTGTACCTCAGCTGTGGATCTGTGGAGTCTGGGAATCGTTTTACTGGAAATGTTCTCAGGAATGAAACTGAAACATACAGTCCAATCTCAGGAATGGAAGGTGAGTGGGAACTGCTGCAGGCATTCTTGCTTGCACCAAATGAGTCGTCCTGCTTCTTGTTTGTAA